GGGTTGCTGTGAGAGAGAAGCAACCAGGAGGCAGAAAGCAAGTAATCCTGAACTTCCCTTACCATAAATAAAATTTGATGCCTTTGCTTCAGAATTTGGTTTTATTTATTAAACCAAATAAAATTTGGTTTAATCTGTACTGCAAGCAGCCATCAGTGCCAAGGAAACGTTTTTTTCCTGATACTTGTGTGGAAAGAGAGTGTCTAATTTCTGCAGCCAAGTGACACTGAGGAGCTGGGAGGCCGACAGCTCTTATGAAGGCAAACAGCAAAAAATAAGTGACCACTGGGCTTCAGGGAGGGCTCTTTGAAGATGTTTTTAAAGGCATTGCTATGGTTAAGTCCAGATTCAAGTCACTACAATTGTAAAATGTGAACTTGTGGCCAGATGGGACAATGTCTTCTGACAGTCCAGGAAGACCAGGAGCAATGTTGCCAGGGATAGAACAGCTCAGTGCAGGAGGCAGCAGCCTTTCCAAGCTGATTTACCTCTGCGTATGGATAAGTATGTCGCAGATGAGGGGCTGGATGTGCCAGCCAAAAGCTGCCTCCCAGAAACAAGGGCTACCTCTCATCTGTCTGTCTGGCATAGGAGATCTCAATCCTAGCTGGGTTTGGAGCCGGGTAGGAGTCAGGAGCTACTGCCACTCCCAGACACTCCTCTTAGGATGCTCAAGCTCCCAGACTCTGGCTCATCCACGTGCTGCTGAAAATCTGCTGGGCACTGGTTTTCTGTCCCATGTCTCCCATGTTGGGAGACCAAATTGCAGAACTGGGCTGGAGAATGAGCAGCTGCTGGGACTACGTGAGTCTTGTACCCGCCAGGATCCTCCCCAGCTCCTGGAGACTCCAGACCTGTGTCAAAAGAGGGCTCACACATGGAAATACCCATTAACATGTTTATCCTCAAAGACAGCACACATATTCTATCTACTTGTAAGCATTTGTGTGGCAACTATAGAAGTATTATGAAATTATGTTGTCAAACAAGACACAGGTTTGTTTTAAAAAAAAAAAAGGTCCTCATTCTCTTTGTGGGAGCTGTCTTCAGAATTACCTCAGGATAAAGTCCTTGATGCACACTATTTCTGAGGGCTGAGTTCTTACCTTATGAGTAATAGCTGAACCTCATAGAACTACTCAAGATTTTAGCCTATTTTTTGCATTTTTACTTGTATATTATTGCTTCTTCCAGTTACAATCTACTTTTTCCTAGCAGGAAACTAAGATGTGGCTTTAGTAATACCTATCATCAATCTTATTTATTCCATCTATTTCCAGGTAATTATATATAGAGTATTTCTTAGTCTATATTCGGATGGCCTATTTAGAGATGAATGGATTCCTTCCAGAATGGCAATGACCTTTCTGTGACTCAAACATTAATTTTCTAAATGGCATCACAGGTGAAATACCTTATACATCATCATAATTAACAAGATACACCCTATTAATGTTCAGAAAACATGCTTTTCATAATTATAGACAGAATCCTTTCAGAGATATAACCTTCCTCTCTGCTACAAATTGTTAGTCAATACCATTGGATACATCCACAGCAAAACCTACTCAAGCCCTACTCAAAAAAGCAACCTTTATTGCCATCCTAACATATCCTAAGCACCCACAAAATGTAGATTTTAGAGACATTACACTTCAGAACCATTCAGATATTCATCTGCTGTAATATGTTTGACAAGTCTCTGGTTTGAAATGGACTGGCATTACAGGCTGAATTGCTCTGCTTGCTTTCCTAACTAAAGTCAACTCTGCCTGTGATTTCTGAGAGCAGAGAGAAAGTTGTAAACTGCAATCCGTACTCTCATGAGTTCTTCCTGATTGCAAATTAAGGGTCAGGGGATCAGGAGCTTTCTGGTAAAACTTGGAGGAAGTATTGTAAGGACAAAGAAGGAGTCAGGGTGGAGAATAACTGTGTTTCATAAGAGTTTCTTAAAGCAATTAAAGCACCTCTCATGGCAAGAGACAAAAGACAGAAGATCCATTACACCAATGGAGCTCTGATCCCCACAGACCTTACGAGCAGGGCTGTGTCTGAGGAGAGATCGGCAAAGGGAGGTGATGTTGGGAGAGCACTGCTAAGTCAGAGTGGTGACTTTTCTTCTGCAGCAGCACTGGGTGGGCACTTCAGCCAAGTGCAGTGAGCACTGTGCTTTCAGCTGGGGTGTGGGAGGTGCTCACCAGGGCTGCCGTGACCCCTGCAGCTCTGACTGCTCCCAGCAGCTGAGAGCTTCACTCCAGGATCCTGTCCAAACAATGACATAGGGAACAACATCTGCCCAACCCCCTGGCCCCATTAATTTGAAGGGGGAAGTGCCTTCATTTTCCCACTGAAAAGGTCTGCAAGGGGCTGAACAATGCCTGCATTCTGCCAGACTGAGAGTTACTCATGGGACAAATTGTTCCTGGGATGGGAGACAGGTATATTTAGCACAATAAACACAATTTGCTCCCAAAGCTTACTGACTTTCAAGAACAGAACACACATTGCTATAGGATGATAGATTTCCCCTTATTTTTATTAAAAGCTGCATGATGAAAAAGTGTTAAAAAGTATGGGAGAGTTAATGCTCTAGGGGATTAATTCCTGACCATTTTTCACAAGCATACCAGAGTTATCATGCAGTAACGACTACAGATTGGCAAAAAATAGTGAAAATCATGGATGCTGTTTAACATAACTACACAATAACTTTTGAGACACAAAACCAGAATGTTCAGTTCCTGCAGAAATGTACATGGGGTTAAAAGCCATTAGGAATTTAGAAACTTGCCTTTGATAAATTAATAATTGTCTTTTCTAGAATCTTGGCATGGTTTATGTTATTTTATGTATTTTTTTATTATGAAGGCCAAATTCAATTATGTAATTTCTTTGGACAATATTTTGATAAAAGAAATTCCAAATATCTAAAATTAGCGGTCATGCTATATTTACAAAGATTAGAAGAGCTTGTGGATTAACAGGATTTTAAGATATTATTTGAAAAATTGTGCTGATTTTAGAATGGTTTTCTTATTTCATATCAATACTATTAAAATATAGGAGGGCAAATTAAGGGGTAAACAATACAGATGTTTATGTTTAATTCGTAGTCCTGTTTCTCTTTCTGGTTTCCATAAAATGTTTACCTCATTTTAACACTCGGCAAAGAGATTTGTTGCCTTGTGTGTGCATAATTGCACGTGGGAATATTTCTATACAACTTTTCAGCCTTGCAAAAGACTTCTAAATTAACATTGTTATAATAAGCATGGTGTTCAGACAATAAAGACATATAAACAAAAGAATAAAATTATTGAGCTATTTGTATTTAAATTGCATGTATACAGCATTTTGGATCAAAAATAGTCTAATAAGAGCTGGTTAATGATACATTTTTACTATTCTTTAACAGGGAAACAGGAGAAACCCTGTTGTCACATGTCAACCAAATACTCGGAGTACAATCCTGAAGAAAACTGTGACTTGAGTTATTACTATGGCAGAAGCTAATGCTTGCTCAAACACCATCATAAAACCTGATTATAGGTCTAATGGACCTTGCTACAAACTCTGAGTGTGGAAACCTCCATTTAAAAAACGGAATGGTTGGCTATTGGGAGTGCTAAAGCTTTTTTTTTTTAGTTTAAAAGAAGGGGTTTTCTAATATGTGAAATTATGAATCATCAATTTTCCTAAATAAAATTCAAAGGTTCCAAATCCTGGTTTTGTGTGTATTTTGCAAAGTGATAACTTCCATCTTCTCTAACTCTTCCTAATGCCAACAGAGATAGCAGCAGGCTCTGAGGACTCGGAGTTCTCTGAGAACTGTGAAGACCACAGATGTCAGTGGGTCATGTGGGAAACCCACTGTCAGGAGTTTCATCAGCTCGAAATGGGGCACAACGTTTTACACAGACTCCAAAATCAGTGCTTCAGATCATTTACCAGAAAGAATCTAAGCAGAATTTTAGTTTACCTGATGGTGTGAAGTACAGAGTCACAGAATGGGTCAGGTTGGGAGGAGACCACATCTGGTCCCACCTTCAGGCAGGGTTATGCCACAGCACATGGCACTGGATTGCATCCAGATGGATTTTAAACAAACCTGGTTGTGTTTTGAGTCCAACCTGTGATATAGATTGGATGAAAATTGCAAATTGCACCACAGTGTCCCACCCACCCAGGCTGGAGCTATTCTGTTTCAGTTACAGCTGAACCCCAACCATTGCAAACATGCTAAAACCACTGGCAGCTTTATGAATAAGTTTTTTCTGAGAGGGACCACAATCTGGGATTTACAGAAAACTCTCCAGACACATTTGGAGCCTGATCTTACAAGGCACTGAGCATCTTGGATTCCAATTCATGTTTAATATCTTAACAGGAGGATCTTGACACTTTGGAAGACATTAAGAAATGGGGGCACAAAGTAAAAACTTTCTCTTCTACTACTCTTTGTCATTTAAAAAAATATTTAAATGACAGATACTTATTTTGATAAAAAAAAAATTTAATGCCAAAACCTTTGCTGAAATTCCTACTTTGTTGCACCACTCTTCAAGGATCTTCTTGTACTCATTATACTTCAGCTTCTCTGTCAATAAGCAGGCATCCTCTAGAACAAAAAACAGCAAATAGAAAAATACTAAAATGTTAGAAGTTTATGTATATACATCGGTATCTACATGTTTTACATTTGGGGTTGGCATCTAATTAATCAGATTTGTTTCTGTCTCAAAGGCTTATTTCTGTAAATTAAAAGTAATTACACGATCAAAGGCAATTAAATTCTAAAACTGGGAATATGTGTAAAAAAACTGAGGGAAGTGTGAATTCATTCATTTATGAGCAGGAAAAATATAATTATTTAGACATAGTAATACAGAGATGATGTGTAATTGCCTGTCAAAATCAGGTTAAGTATTGATGGTAATGACATTTTGTAAAAATCAGCAGATTGGTATAAAGTCTGCAGATTAAGAGCAAATGCTGTACCAGGAAGATCTTGAATTGATGTCTTGGACAGAGGCTCACAGAGGCTTTGAGGCACTTGCTCCTTCACCAGGTTCTGTTATTTAAAAAAAAAAAAAAAAGTGCATGAGTGTTTTAGACTTACAACACTTTTAATGGTTAAAAGGCCTAAATGGCTCAATTGAAAAACTTGACCTATGGAAAAAAGCCACAAGAAAAGGAAATCTAAAAAAAAAAAGGGTGAGTCACATAAGATATAATTCTAGAAACAGAACTGAGAGGGGTTTCTGGTCTCATTTCTTGCCCTCCTGTGCAGCGGTTCTCCAACAGGACAGGTCTGGGTGGGACCAGCTGGGAGCCAACAAGGGAGATACATTCAGGAGAAGATGATGGCCAAGACAGCACTGAAAGATGGCAGGCAGGAGGAACACCACGCAGGGAAGGAATTGAGCAGGGCAGGAAGCAAGAGAAGGCTGTGACATCTCAGTGGGGTCTTCCTCGTGGGATGTGATCAGGGAACAGGTGGCTGGGAGGCCGTGGCTTGACTCTGCAGTTCTTGACAGCCACAGAGCCCATTTGCTCCAGTGGTGCTGTCTCATTCCTTCCTCACTCCGTTTCCACACCAAACTCCCACCTCCTGGCTGCACTTACTGCTCTGTTCCCAGGGACTCTCCAGCAACACACCTCCCTCTGCCTTGTTCCACCTACAGCATCCCTGGGGCATTGTTCCTTATTTTGGGAACCACTGATCTGCTTCGCCTCCTCCAATGAAGAAAGTGCACATTTTATCTAGTCCACCCCTGACATCTATTCTCCAAGGCTTCTGATGAAGGCTGTTTCCCAACATCCCTAATCTCTCTGTTTCAGTGCTTCACAGCCTTATTGCTCTGTTTCTTCCCTAATACTTAAGATAAATATTTATTGCAAATTAAACTGATTTTTCTCTTGTTCTACCTTTTGCAGACACAAAGAGCAATGGAACAGCCCTCTTTCAGAATAACTCCTTAGAGCTTGACAGACTATTTTCCTTTCTGTAATCTTCTCTTTTGGAGGCTAAGAAAACACAATCTCTTCAATATTTGAAAGGAACTCATGTTTTCTTAACTGGATCCTCCTCAATTTGTCACTGCCTCTTTGTACTGTGATGCCTAAAAGCGGACTTTAGCTTTCGGTCACAGCAATACCAATGGTGTTTGTTTGGCATCATAATTTAACTCGTGGCCAGAATAAATCATCCAGTTCTGGTGGGGGTTAAAAACAATGTTCAAAGCAGTGTCTCTGCTGGTACAATGTCTGGAACAGATTAAAACTACTGTATCACTCATGACTCAATAACATTTCTATTTTGTCATTGCACGGGCTTTTATTAAGTATAGTTGCTAATTAGGACTTTATCCATAGTTGTATGCAAGGAAGAACAGGATAAGTAAATCTATGAAGAATATCTGAGAATTGGCATTCCCATATGGAATCTCATTTTGTATGAGGGTAGTGTGTGTGTTAATGGTTTACTCTGTATTTAACAATGTAGTTATTCCAGGTGACATGTTCTGAAACCAGGCCTAAGTAAATGAATGGGAATTCCTTTCCTAGCAGACCAAGTCTTAAATGAAAAAAATCTAATGAAACCTGCACAGCTCAGTTTGGCTTAGAAACTCAGCCAGTGGCAAGCAGCCCAGAGCTCCAGATGGTCAAAAGTACTCACTTCTCCAAGGGATCAGAACTGTGCTGTCCCACCCCAGCTTCACACCAGTGCAGTGTCCAGTGGATGCAGTTTGGTGGAAAAGTGGTACAAAGTTATGTATGGGTATCAAAATGTGGCTGGGTATAGCAACATTTGTATTTCCAGGAAAAAAACACAGAAAAGTGTGTCTCTGACAGCTACAGACACTGACATGTGCAAGAGACAGTGGGGATGTGCACATGACAGATGGGGAGTTACAGCAGAAATTGCTTTTCTTGTGCACCTTTCGGCCTTTTGCCTTCACACTTGGGCACCAAGCTATTATTGGCTGATTAACAGCTCTGCCCTCCCAGCACATATTAAGCATATCAAGGATAACTGATGGAATACTGAGCCATAAATGTTTTCTTGGCATTTGTTTGGCCTATGCTATTTGGAAACAATAAAAGCATCTCATATTCATAATGATAATACATATATACCACCACAGATCACACCATCAAGCATTCTCCTTCCATCTTATTGTGCAAAACGTGGAGATAACATTAATATGTATTAATAGAATGTAAATATAATTAATCATAATAGGATGTCCCTGACAGATTACCACTGCTGTTGATAAAATATAATTAAAATTGTCTGGTTGGATTTTCAGTGCAGCTAGAATTGGCATCTCTGTTCCTTCTATTTCCGTGTGTGTATGTACAGAATGCTATACTTCTAAAAATCCCATTATTTCATGATGGTTTTGTAGAAAACAATGCAGGGCTGCAACTCCTTTACATTATATGGTTAGTGAAAAGCCATACAAAAGAAAGAAGGCCACACCCACAAAGACTGAAGCTACAACTAATTCCAAAAAGGACAGGAATTTTAGGCACCATTCTCTCAAAAGATTATAAAGAAAATGAAACAGACAACAGCTGAGATTGCATGCCCGTGTGATGGGAATCCATTCAAATCCAAAGTCTGCATTATTCAAAGACTGTTGGACTTTATTAAACAAGAATTCCTCTGAAAGCTCCATGAAGTGATGAAATCATAAGAGGATTATTGTTTCAGGTATATAGTTTCAGCTGAAACAAGTTTGAAAAAAAAAAAAAAGAAAGAAATTTTTTTGAGAAGATGACAAAAGTGAGTGTAGCAAGCACAAACTGACCCAGAAATCATTTTTCACTGTGTTTTCCAAATAAAAAAAATGAGGTAGGGTCTACTGAAAGTGGGAGTTGGTGGGCTTGGATACAAAGCAAGGGCTTCTTTGTGCACTGTCACCTCATCACTGGAACTCCCTGCTGCAGGATGCTGAGGATGCAGTAGGTTCCTGTGGGCTCAAGAATGCCATGGCAAAAAAATACAGGGAAAGGCCACACGCTCTCCTACTCCCCCACTATAGCTCACCTGCTTAGCAGAATCCTCCAACAAGATATGGTAACATGCTCTTATGTTCTCACATGGATTCAAGTGCCTGTACACAAACAAGGCCCTATTTGCAACTCCTGCTGATGAGACTGAACTCTGACTATAGTGTACATACAAAAGTTGTACTCTGAGGCAATACAGCATTTTCATTACATCTATTTTTTTTAACAGAATTACTTCCATGTATTCAGATCCACCACTAGCCAATACTGCATGTTTTTGTCACAAAAGGGAGAGGAAGCAAGACTATCTCGATGTATTACCATGTCAGTGATACACAGCTGATGAGATAGAACCCATTATTGTATTTTAAAATTTACTTGCATTTTTAAATGTCACACAGCTGCTTTGAGTTATATAATCTGAAGAATGATATAATGGTGTAGGAATAGAGATAGAGCAGAAAATAATATGACTGCAAACAACATGTATATCCCATATTTGTAGATGATCTTCCGAAGTATTTTTCTGTCTTGATAAATGAAAATTGATGCAATGCCTTTTAGAAGCGTGTTGGGCCTAACTGTTTAACCATGTATCCTGACTTGGTTAACTTGGAATGGAGGCAGTTGTACTTGGAGGTTTTGTTAATATAAAGATTAATGAATTTGTACAATTTGGGCATGCAAACCATTTCTATCAGGCATATTCCATTTAGAATAAGCAGTAAACCATATATAAGGGTTGTGTCAAAGTTTACTGAATAGGGCCCTTGGTAGCTAATGTAACATTTCTCCAACAAATCAAAGGTATTGTTCTATGCTCACATGAATATACAGTAGCCATTACCTTAAATTTAAAACTCACTGTGAGCGGCAAACACACTGTGGGGATATGAAGGCCATATTGTATCAGTGGAGTCTGCAGAGATTTTCTTCATATGGCTTTGCCTGGTTGAAATATATGTTGCAGTTGAAAGCTAAAGGGATTACTTTTGAATAGTCATCACAAAGGTTGATTATATTCGTATATCATTTAGCTGGACCCTGCAGGCTATTATTCCATTAGCTGTGCTGGCCCTGCACTGTCAAAAAGTTGATCGTATAATGTAAAAAGGGTCCATGCTATGTTAAGGTATGTGGAGCAACTTGAAGCAGTAATCTTTTAGAGCAGTACAGCTCTGTACTTGAAGGTAGATTGCATTTAAAATAAATACCCTCAAAATGGAATAAGTACAATAAACCTACCTCTGTTTCCTATTTTTCCTTCTTTGAACAGGCTGTATATAATTTGAGTAAGTTAATTGCACCAGGTGAGATATTGGCTATGGAGTATTTTTTCATGCTCACAGCTAAAGAACTACACCTCAAAACAGCTGTGTCTTTACGTGAAACCCTCATGGAAACGACATTTCTGGTGAAATAGGTTTGCTGATTATGCTTCCCTTGCACATGCAAACACACACACATTTTCTTCCAGTGCTTAATAAAATGGATCTTCAGATGGTTCCATTATGTGGATGCCTTAATATTATTTTATGCTAAAACATGGACAGCGCATTAGATTGAAAGCATCTTACTGTTCCAGGAGGCAGAGCAATCATGGACTATCCCTAGATAGCAAATGCTCCCATTGGGGAAACATTGCCAACAACACAGGCTAATGAATCACAGCACTTATTAATCATGGGCATTTGGAAAAGCCACGCATAACAGAGATGGACTCTCAAGATGAGGAAGGTTAGAAGGTGGGACTGAGAAAAAGACAGAAGATCATCTAATTGCATTTTAGAATAAGTTTATGGATGAGTATTTGCTTCAGTACAGTTGTACTGCTTGCCTCTGTCTTTCTAAGCAGGCAGAGAAAGAAACAATTTAAGTGGCTCAGTTCTCTCAGCTTTCAGATCCTTGAAGGACAAGTTGGCAAAAATAAATAAATAAAAACCATGAAAATACAAGACCCTTAGGGCTTATGGCCTAGTGGAAGTGAGACAGTGCTTCTTTTATTAGACAAAGTTGTTTAATTTAGATTGTAAAAGCAAGAGTTGGTTGTCT